GAAAAATGCATCGGACGCATGTAGCCCCAAGGACATGAGGCCGACTCTCCTTGCATAGAATTGATGAGCTTCAATTATTTCGTGTTTTGCACAGTGTCATGCACAACACGGACGAGGAAATCACGGAAATTAATGAGCCGAACGCGAAGTGTCAAGCGAGTACCGCACCAATTAAGACCCAAGCGGTGGCTACAGATGTGGATAATTATCGTACGCACGGAGATGACCACTATTAACTATAAATACCGGGCAACCTCTACATTTTTCAACCCTATATGCACATGACTATGATACCATTACCTATGATTAAGGATTCCCGATGGAATCCGAAACGTCAGGACAATAAAACCCTTGTCCCAGTGATCGCATCTCCTTCTTCTGAACATACAACACTATCAACTTTGGCTTTCAGGAATGTTTAAGTCGTAGGACAAATCATCTTACGTACCTACGCCGGAGCCTGTTTAGTCTTCGAGACTCCGGGTGAAGGTGAAGAGTGCGGTTGGCGCTAACTACCTCCTCTGTCTCTTTAAACTGCGCCCGGAGACTGTCGCTTTCTGTACCAACCTGCTGGTGCACTTGGTGGACCTCATCGAAATCGATGGTTGAACATATATCCATACATCTACACTACCACGGTGCACGGAGACTTTGTCCCAACCTGTGCTCATTGCAATCACTCGTTCACCTCACGCCTCCGCCTAATCGGCCGGTTAAAAATCCTTCGCACAATGAGCGCTACATCTGTGTCTGGAGCCCAGCTCCACTCTCTACACTTCCCACGTACAATCACTCTCCACATGAACCTACCCGGTCACATACGAAACTCACCGCAATACGGACATACCAAACTCACCCTGTGTACCCGAAATCCCTGATTTCCATTACTAAAGACTCCATCCGAACTTCGAACTAAAGAAGTTGCTATTTAATGGTCAAATAGGGAAGACAAGGCTACCTAGAGGGCAAATATAAACTTAAGAATTTTAGATGTATATTTATATCATTAACTATCATTTGGACACCCGCAATCTACGAAGTGAGGCTTTCCCTCTCATTGACATCAATGGTGGTTGCTGAATGTGACTTTATCCATGTTTGGAAGGCCATCCTACTGTCAGTGGAAGAGTTCAGTTGGCCAGCTCTATGCAGTAAGTGCCTCTACGGCACTCTCACTCAGTGGAATATGATTCAGATTTGGCGGCACTTCTAGGGGTGGACAGCCGACAGCGTCTCTCCTCGTCTCCGGTCTTCTTGATTTGCTCCTGACGTAAAGTCCAGATGGCTGAAGAGGAGAGATTGCTGAAGATGCAGTGCATGTCTATTCTCACCATAGTCTGATTTACGCGCAAAGCACCGGCTCTGGACCAGCATGTTGTTGGGCACACAGTAGAT